GAAAGTACAGATTTTACAGTTGAAAAGGAAGAGTGGCCTAATCTGCTATGCCATAGTTCTAATACAGAACCAGAATCAGAATGACATTTATTGTGTATGGACTGATCTGCAGTTTGCACTTAATAAGCTGAGTGCTTGAAAGACTTTATTGAATTTGCTCCATCAAAGGCATAAAGACCACATTTAAGTTTTCCTTGGAGAACAATCTCCTTGGTAGCCTGAGATTTCACAAAACAATTATTAGCATGGAATTCAAAGAAAACATGATTATCCCTGGCAAATTGTGATACACTTAGGAGGTTCTTCGAAAGACCAGGTACATGGAGCAGATTAGGTAAAGAAAAGGATAAAGAATTGGAAGAGGATTGTAAAATTGAATTACCAACATGCTGAATTTTCATACCTAATCCATTACCTATTTGAACTGTATCTGAACCTTTGTATGTAGTCTTTGACAGCAAGTTTGATGCATCAGGAGTGAAGTGGTTTGAAGCTCCTGAATCAGGATACCACGTTGGATCAAAGACTGAATAGAATTCAGAGGTGCTGTCATCTTGATGAGCAGATGGACTGTTTCCAGTAATTGCAACATTTGCTTGCAAGTTTGGAAGTGAAGATTCACCACGTTCTGACCTGCTGTTGAAAGGATTTGGAAATCCCTGATTGAACCTGTTGTAGCATTCCCATGCTGTATGGCCAGGTTTGCCACATAGCTGGCATTGAGGTCTTCCACTATGCTGCAGATTGTGTGTTCTCCCTCCATATCTGCCATATCTGCCTCTAAAATTATTGAAGCGACCTCCTCTGTTGAAGTGTGAAGGATACCTCCCAGCATGTGATCCATAAGGTTTTCTAACATTCATTTGCGCCAGATTGGCTTGCATCAGGCCAACATCAGTTTTTCTGTGTTTTTCCAGGCGTTCTTCTTGAGCCATAAGAAGAGCCTCTATTTCATTTATAGAGTATGGATCAGATCTTGAAATGACAGATGTGATAAATGCATCATATTCTTCACCAAGACCATCAAGAATGGCATCGATGTGATCTTCTGGAGTAATTGAAGCACCTGTAGCTGCTAACGAGTCGACTATTTTCTTGATCTGAAGTATGTAGTTTGAGACAGTAGAGTCTTTCTTGATGTTCTTTAGCTGAATTTTCAATTGTTTTACTTTGGATCGAGTTTGAGAGGTGAAGAATTCCTCTAGCTTGATCCAGACTTGATAAGAGGATTGGCACCCAACCATCCTTGTATGTAAGGATTCAGACATAGATGCAAGAAGCCAAGACATTAGCAACTGATCTTGTTGTGAAGATTGATCTGCTTCATTGGTGATGAACCTCTGCAGATTGAATCCTCTAATTGTTGCCATGGCTTGCTGTTTCCAAGGAAGAAAGTTACCTTCATCCAATTTGAATGACACTGGATTGGAGAAGGTGTGAAGAGCAGATTGTGACACAGCATTAGTACTATCTGCAGAATTCTGAGCAGGTTGAACGGGTTGAGTTTCTGTTGGTTGAGTCTCTGTTGCAGAAGCGTTGGTTTCCATGGATCAAAAAAAAAAAAAAGGAAGCTCTGATACCATGTAAGGTATCAGATACAAAGGAAAGAAGAAAGGAAGATTGAAAGAAAAGTGAAAACAGAGAGAAGCTGTATGTTGAATAAACTGAGATATTAATCTCTTAATGAATTGCATTGAGTTAACCAATATATATACAAGACTCAAGGCTAACTGAATGGTAAGTTAAAACTAACTAGCTAAAGATACGGAACTTGTTAGAAGTTAGTTACACTTAGTTAGTCTTTCACGGGCCTTTTGACTGGCTTTTTGAGTTTGTCTACAATTGTGAATCCAATTTTTTTGACCTGATTACAATATGATGATCATTGTATCTAAAGAATCATTTAAATCCAAAAATTTAAGCCAGGCCCATAAATGATTTAAATCCACATGAAAACGATATCCAAATGCGTTCACACTTACACAGCATATGAAAGTAATGAAGGTACCTAGATAGCGGGTTAGTAGGCCATTGAATGTTCATTTGTATGGTGATTGGTGTAATGATTCCTTCCCCCAAGTCCCGATTCCCGAAATCAAACCTCCTTGCAAAGTTTCTCTTCAGCATCATGATAAATCCAAAATAGAGGTCTCAATTAAGTATTGCTGTCTATTATGCCTCGAGCGTCTGAAATATCATATTAGTCCCTTAGAATCAAAGCCGTCAATGTTGAAAGTTATACTTTCACTTCTTTTTCGCTTCTTCATACTTCTCCCTTCCTATGAGATTCCTTTTTGAATCCCATACGTTTGGTCCCCTTGTGGGCACTGTCTGTCTGTGTCACCATCGCTACAAACTTATGGGGTTTCCAATTAGGATTAATTTATTAAACGGGGTTGAATATTTCACTCGGAATTTTTCTGTCCATTCTTCGTGCAAACATGACTTGGTTCACTAAGTTTGTTCACCTCCAACCCTTTTCAGGTAGGTTTCCATCTGAACTTTAGGAGATAACAAGCTGCATATCATTATATAATTTGAAAATTCTGCACCGCTGTTGGTGGCTGGTGAGTCAGATATTTTTCATTCGATTCAATGGTGCCTGTCACAGTGTCAATTGATCTCCACTTTTCCTTAGTTAGTTTAGCGGATATACTTGCCAAAAACGATACCTAATCAGAAATTTTGCTCAAAGTACGGTTGAAAGTATTATATATTTGGCAGTTCAATCAAACATTCAATGCATAGTTAAAATTAGATTGCATTGAATAATTTGTTGATACTGCTGATGAATTACGGAATAAGCACACACCAAATCAAAGAAAGTTAAAAGGTTTGGCTGTTTAGCCATAATACATAATAGCTGGTTTTGTTTTTCTCCTTTGACACGAAAGGAGAAATTTTCTCAGAGACACATGATTCAGGTGAGTTCCACCAACAAAAAATAAAATAAAATAAAATCAAAGCACATAACCCGATGTATATGTGGCATGAGAAATATCTTCAAAGAAAGTATTTCCCTTACATAATAATAGTTGAATTCAACGAGTTAAAGCGAATATACGCATCATAAGGAATGATCTTCTCCAATTATGCATTGAATGTGAAGCAAATTAATTTCTGATACGACATACCCAAAAGCTTATGGTGGAAGATTAATTTCAAGTTGAACCAAAAATTGGTATACCAGACTTCTCGTCATATTCTTCTTTTGTTCTCCAATTGGAGTTAAAAACAAAGTAGTACTAGTTGAGACATTGTTTATTGTTTTGGCAACAAGTTCAGCTTTATCCACGTGCATATGCGTTAGAAAATGGAATCCACCGGACTATTAAAATCGTGTTTGTTCCTTGCTTGGGGTACTTCAAGATTACTAGAACACTGCCTGCATGTTATATATGCCTGCCCTTGCCATTTGCCGCGACTATCAAATTCTTTAATAACGAATAATATTTGTTTTATTGATCTGTATGGTCCAACCCGGAATCTATGATTCTATCAACACAAGTCACTCATCTTAAACTTACTTGCCGCACACGCTTCGTCTTTTTTGTTTTTATGATTGAAAAACATGCCTGTGGGCTGTGTATATAAAAATATGGGAGAGGTTATAGTTACTATCTCTTTTTCTTACTACTTCTTATTACCAAATATTAACTGTTGATTTTCGTTAATCTAACGGTTATGATTTATTGAAAATTAATAATTAATTAATAAATATGACCCAATAAATTGTAACTGTTAGATTGGCGAAAATCAACGGTTAAGATTTGGTAGTAAGAAGTAGTAAAAAAGAGAGGTAGTAACTATAAACTCCCCTAAACATATATATCATTTTTATTTTCCAATATATATATATATATATATATATATATATATATATATATTATTTTAAAATAAACTACTATAATTTATTTAAGGATTTCAATTTTCTCATGCAGTAGAAAAAAAAATTTCTTATACTATAAATACATCTTGTGTAAGACCAACATCTATTAAAAAATATTTGCATGAAAATAATAAGATAAAAATTTCTCTTACAACATAAATAAATTTTTCCATTTATTTAATAGTACTTGCCAACAAAACTGGAGTTGTTTCCCATTTGCATTTGAGCTCTTTTCTCCTTCATTTCCGTTACATTTTATTTCAACACGTGAAAGCAAGAGAGATAAAATCCGATAATCTATCATGTTTTCGTGTCAAATCATTTGCTTCTTAAATTCTTCATCGGTTAATTATACGCAAGTATCCTCTAATGTGTTTTATATCATAAAAAATAATAATAATGCAATATTCGGTATGGAATATCAAGTTTGTAAGTGTGTGTATACCTAATTAATCATAAATAGAATATGATTTTGAGAAAGGTTAAACTTATTATCAATTAAGTTTATCACCTCTTTTTAACTCTTTTACAATTTGTTTAAAATAAAATTTGTTAATTTAATTTTATCCGAAGACTATAAAAGAAATAACTTACTTGATGGTAAATCTTCCTCTGTTTTGTTTATAATTTGTATATTATAGTTTCAAATAAAGGAAAAAGTCTTAATTTTTTACTTCGACTTATATTATAAATTGACATCCATAAACATTCCGATCATATTATTTGTGAATAAAACTTAATTTATACACGTTCATAAAAACATTTATATAATTTAAGAACAATTTGCTTAATATTTTATTTTTTAATTTGTAAGTACCCATAGTTATCCAGTTTCACATATTATGTTGAGTGTTAGTAATAATTAATAAGGTTAAGGGAGATTGTTATGTACTCTCAACTCTTGGAGTACAATTACAAGAACTTCCTAAACCAGTTTATGATATGCAAGCTATAATCTCATCACACTAAAATGTATTTTGAAGAAGCTTGTCGTATTCAATAAGATTATAAGACATTGTGCTTTTCATTAACTGATAATCCTCATTCTACTCATTTATTTAAAAAAAATAAAAACGAAATTACACCTGGCGCAGATAAATGGACAAGGAAGAAACCACAAAGGGGAATCAAGAATTCTCTTTAATCAAGTAGAGGACAGAGTACATCAACATCAATATTCTATGGCCATTAAGATTAAAAGAATCACCCGATGTTTTGTTAAACCATCCGAGGCCGATCTCGAAAGCTCAAGAAACCTACCGCTAACATAACCAATCCCAGTTTTTTTCTTTTTTAATTAATTAAATTGGTAGAAATTAGTTGTTGAATTTTTTGCCCAGAAGCGTGGCGCGCAATTCGGCGACATCAATATCCTTAGTGTTCTCAGGTTTGTAATAACCAGTGACAGGATCAGGCACCCACGAAACCTTGTATGTGGAGGCTCCCTTGTCTTCCCCTGACTTGGGTGTCATCTTGCCGCTTATGGAGGAGGTAACTCCTCCCCTTGTTGCGCTTTCTGTTGCCGCCGCGTACCCACGTCTGTTCAATAACCATTTATTAAAATCATGTCATTCACAAATTAACAATTTAATAGTCATAAGTATCAATCTAAATACAAGTGAAAATGTTACGGTACCTGGCTAGAGCGTTTGAGAATCCGTCAAGGACAAGACCAGAGAGAAGCTTAGCGTTAGGGAAAGAGCGAGCCATTGGTGATTTAAATCAAAATAAAAATCAATGAGAGAAATTTGTGAAGATGTTAACTCTCTTTTAGACGGCTTTTAAGTTGGGATGCAGAGAGAAGAGGCAGGGGGTGGTTTTTATAGGGCAGTGGAAAGAGAAGGGGACGCGTTAACTAGGTTGTATTATTTTTTTTTTATTTTTTTTTTGGAAATTTGGTTGTATTATTATTAAGCCAGAATACTAGCCGCGTCAAAGTATTGAACTTGCTGTCACGTCTTCTTGGAGCCGTTTATTTATTTTTAAGGAAATGAAATGACCCGCCACTAAATTGGTTTTGCTTTATGGCGAAGTTTCAATTCAATGTGAGTTATGTCTCGTAAGATTTAAACTTCAAGTTGTTCAATAAATTGAAACTTCCAGAAGTTGTTCTATAATTATAAAGAATTCTTATTGACTATTTAAATTATTATATATTATAATCTTTTATAAAACAAATACATTTTTATCATAATTTTACATTTTTTTATTTATCCAATAGTAATATGAATATTTATGAAGAATGGTAAGTAACTGATAAATTTTTACTCCATAATTATCATATTATTAGCAAGCATATCATTCAGGCTTTTTGACCAATATGGTTTTTTTTTTGGAATTTTAATATATCAATTTAGTATTTGATTCTCTATAATTATCAATGGAAGCCATTTAGTATTGTGGGGGTCAGCGGTACGAATAAATCTTTGGTACTACTGTTGTACCTAGATTAAGTGTATTCCATGAATGAGAGCTTTACACATCAGAGGAGAGAAAAAAAAATTGACAGAAAAAAAATATTTTAACCTACATATAATATTTTTATTGGTGGGATGCACTGAATCTTTGATACAACAGTAGTACCAAAGATTTATTCCAGCAGTACACAGTGCCATGACTCTCCTCGACACTCACATATTTTTTTAATTTTTTTAAGTGAGTATCGTGATGTCTCTCTGACACTCACATGATTAATTGTGCTACGTGACATGTTAGTTTCGTTAATGTAAAACTTCAAAATAACATAATTTTTGACATGAGTATTGAAATAGATTTTTTTTTTATTTCACCTAATTTTTTGATGTCTACGTAATGACATATCACTTGACATATTTTATCTCTAGTAAACATATTTTGAATTTGTAATAATTATTAAATAATAATCACACCGCTTTATGCATGCGGCATCCCCATTGAAATTATACTCAAGTAATAATTACTTCTAGAATAAGAAGCACTTAAAATATCCCAAGGGCAAAGTAGTGTTTTAAAATCTCATCCCATCTTTCGGGTTGACCCGGGTCAACCCTGACCCATCTCCTCTGAGGGTTTGGGTCACAAGTTGGACCTTATATGCACATCGATTCCTTCGACCTCCAAAACCTGACCGGGTTTCAGTGACTCCCGAGTCAGAGAGGGGTCAAAGGGGGCCACTGCATGTTTTTTTTTTAAAGAAAATTCAATGAAACAACATCGTTTTATTAAAAAATAAAAATAAAAATGCTTGCAAACCTAAATCTAATCGTTCTCTTCTCTCCCACCGACCTAGACTTGTGGTATCTTGGTACTTTGGTATCATTAGAATACGAGTTTTGTACTTTGATATCTTGATACTTTAATTAGGTTGTGTAATATTGATTTGTGGTTGTAATTGGTGAATTATGTTAAGTATATTTTAATTTTTTGATGATTGGTGATTTGTTTTTTAATATTTTCATATAGGATAGATATATTTATATTTTTTTAATATATAAAATCGAGTCAGTAACTTCATGATCTTCCGATTGAACCCGTAACCCCATAATCCTTGACCTCAGCCGAGTCGATGACCGGATCGAATTTTGAAACACTGATGCAAAATCGATATTGAGGGCGGCAACTAAAGATAATCGACGGTGGAAAAGTGATTGCGGAATCAGAATCGTCCAGGTGGCGGCTTCGTCAATGGAAAGGAAGACTTAGTCGTGAGTCGTGAGTCGTGAGTTACAAGTCATCAAGTCAATAGTGGTGGATATACGAGTGAGCTGAACTTGGTCTTTCTTTTGACACAGCCTTTTCTAGTCCCTTCCACAACTAGTTGTCGTAGTTGATTAGTGTTTGCAACTGTGCAAGTCATGAATAACATGTGCATTATTAATGGTCAATAGGCATCTCCAAAGGCCAAACTTTATGAGAACTTTCCCAACCCTCTCGCGCCAAGTGGATACGTACTATTCCTTTTGCGTAATCGATGGGACTTTTTCCAATCCATTACGACCGTGATTTCAAATATTTGATTCTCCATTTTGATGGTTTAGGATTCTGTCTTTTAAAGTTTACTCAAATTTATTTAAATAATAATAGATTCTAATATAATTTTTTTTCTCATATCATAAAAATATCATGAGAAGATGTTAATCCATTCAATAATATATGAACCAACGAAAGGCTAAACACTAGCAAGGAAATGAGGGATTGAACTTTAGGTAGGAATTTTGTTACGGTCGAGAGATATCATAAAAATTTATTGAAAGTCATCACTTATAAATTTAAATCTTTGGGTTGCAATGAGAGCCGACATGACTTTATCTTCATGACCTCATTTTATTAATAAAAAATAATAATTATAGAGTTTCTTAATACAAGTAGGTCCACTTGATGCATCATTCACCTTTAAGTCCAATAAATTCTCTTATGAGGAGGCATGTTAGAGAAATATAAAATTATTATTAATATTGTTTCATCCAATAGTTTAAATTTTTGGATTGAAATGGTTCTTTACATAATTTCGCCTCTTACTTTTTAGTGAAATTAAGTCAGCACAAGGATGAATCCAAAAAATGAACTTGTATAATATCTACACTTTAAACTCAAACGACTCTTACATGACGGAGTGTGTTAGAGATTATAATGTAAAATCATTGAAAACTCATTACTTACAAACTTAAGTTGTTATGTAAAATGGTTGTTTAACAAGGTCGGTGACCATGGGTCACGAATTCAATCCTTAGTGCCTCCCATTTTATAATGGAATTAAATAACCACAAGAATCTTCACTCCCTCCACTTTATAGTGAAATTAAATCAGACAAGATAGAACCAAAAAATGGACCCGTGCAACATCAACGCTTTTAAATTCAAAGGTTTTTTGTGTGAAAGGATATGTTAGAGAGATATAATATAGAACCATTAAAAGGGCAAATAAATTAATTTATTGCTTTTTTAATAAAAAAATTACGAATAAGTAGTCGTTTTGAAATTAATTACAAAAATATAACAGTCAAACACGCCCCACAGAGGCGTGACTGGTTGGAGAGAGACACGCCACATCTGGGCGTGACCAAGGAGAGAGACACGCCCCATCTCGGCGTGTTTCACCAGGTGTTGCCACGTGGCACAAAAGTCAACAGTTTGACCGTAAAACTTTGGAAGTCCATAACTTTTGACTCGGGTATCCGAATTAGGTAAAAAAATTTGATTCCACATAACTTTTTGATATTTACGTAATAACACCTCATTTGGCATATTTTGTCTCTCACAAAAAAATTGAATTTACAACAATGATACCATAAAAACGTTTAAACTCAAATTAATAAGCAGAAAATCATTGTTATGATTAGAAACATTCATAATAAAGATCCTTATGATTATGGTAAGTTATGATAAGGTTAATTATGTATGTTATTGGGATATATATTAAAAATTTGAATGAAGAATTTTATAAAATTTATAATTTTATTCGGTTAACATCTGTCGGTGACAGAATATCGAATAATTTATATTAAAAAGTTAAGTGAGTGCTTTTCGTTTTATTTTGATTTTTAAGTTTTTGTTCATGATTATAAAAATGTTAGATTATTTTTAGTAATAATTATAAGGTAACAAAGTCATGTCATTTTTAGTAAATTATGTTAGATTATAAAGTTTTTGTTCATTTTTAACATTTTTATAATCATGAACAAAAAGTTAAAAATCAAAATAAAACGAAAAGCACTCACTTAACTTTTTAATATAAATTATTCGATATTCTGTCACCGACAGATGTTAACCGAATAAAATTATAAATTTTATAAAATTCTTCATTCAAATTTTTAATATATATCTCAATAATATACATAATTAACTTTATCATAACTTACCATAATCATAAGGTTCTTTATTATGAATGTTTTTAACCATAACAGTGGTTTTCTGCTTATTAATTTGAGTTTAAACGTTCTTATGGTATCATTGTTGTAAATTCAAATTTTTTTTGTGAGAGACAAAATATGCCAAATGAGGTGTCATTACGTAGATTTCGAAAAGTTATGTGGAATAGTAAAAATTACCTAATTCGGATACCCGAGTCAAAAGTTATGGACTTTCAAAGTTTTACGGTAAAATTATTGACTTCTGTGACACATGGCAGCACCTGGTGAAATACGCCTAGATGGGGCGTGTCTCTCTCCTCGGTCACGCCCAGATTGGGCGTGTCTCTCTCCAACTTGGTCACGCCCCATGTGGGCGTGACTCACGCATAGGTCACGCCCCACATGGGCGTGTTTCTCTTTATTGAAACACGCCCTATGTGAGCGTGTTTGACTGCTATATTTTCGTAATTAATTTCAAAACGACTATATTTTTGTAATTTTTTATTAAAAAAGCAATAAATTAATTTTTTTTGCCCCATTAAAAGTCCATTACCTAAGTTTAAGCTTTTGAGTTAAAATAGTAATTTACAAAGTTCTTAGATATAAACCTCTAACCATAAAATTTATGTAATTTAGTAAAATAAGTTCAACAAAATTATATGTGAATGTAATAATTTATATCATTTCTAAATCCTAAAACTCATTTTAATTACGGGTTTAAATTTAATGCACACATAAATTTATATCTTAATTAAATCATTAAAAATAAATATTAAATAAAAACATTAAAAGATTAATATTCTAAAGTTTAAAATATTTAATAATTTATTGTATATACAACTTCAATGATTATTTTAAAGTATGAAGTTATTGCAAGGGAATAAGATAAGTTACTTATTACCTAATTTAATGTATAGTTTACTAATATATTACAAACATGCATATAAGTACCAT